TGATCGATCTTGGAAGAAAAGATCTCTGGCAAGAGATTTCACTCTGTGGATTCTTTAAAAGCCGCTTTGAAGAGGGCCTGGGCTGAAATCACTGTTCAGCAATGCGCGACCATCGTCGGCAACTTCCGCAAGCGATTGAAGAAGTGCATCGAGGCCAAGGGTGGAAATTTTGAACATTTGCTATGATTTTTTGTTAGTTTTGTCTTCAATAAACAATTTGTTATCGTTTTTTGATTAATATTGCCAAAGTTTGCAACTTTTATTTCTCTTAGAAAAAGTGTCAGAACTTTTGCCGCACCCTGTACTATTAGAGAAAATACGCTATTATATTAGGTTGGTAAAAAAGAAATGCGCGTTTTCGTTAAAAGTTTATTTTATTATAAAAACAAGATAACAATACATTAATCCAAAAGGTATTCACCATCTGCATCAATGATTTGTCGCCAACGTTCACGCAGAGAATGGATGCCCTTCTTGAAGAACTCGACCGGCTGCGACTCGAAGAAATTGGACACCCAAATTTGGACCTCGTCGCGGTTCTTGAACTTTTTCTCGGTCAAGGAGTGGTGCATTGATCGGAACAGATGGTAGTCGGAAGGCGCCAAGTCTAGGCTGTATGGCGGATGAGGCAGGACTTCCTAGCCCATTTCTTCAATTTTCTGCTGGGTGATTTTTGCGACATGCGGCCGAGCGTTGTCGTGGAGAAATTGTGTCGACGCCGTATCCACACCTTGACGTTGCAGCGCCTGGTCCACGCGGTCCAATTGGCCTTGGTAGAGGTTCGCCGTAACTGTTTGACCCGAATCCAGAACCTCAAAGTACACCAGGCCTTTACTGTTCCACCAAACACAAAGCATCACCTTTTTTCCGTGGATGTCCGGTTTTGGAGTCGGTTTTGGAGCTTGGCCGGGGTCCAACCACTGCCGCTTTCTTGCTGTGTTGTCGTATTGGATCCACTTCTCATCCGACGTAACAATGGAGTCGAGAAACCCACTGTTCTTGGCGCGGTGAGTGAGAATTCCGGCGATTGCGATGCGTGTCGCCTTGTTTGCGTCGGATAGCTTATGCGGTACCCATTTTCCGCATCTATTCGTCTTGCCCATGCCATGCAGATGGTTCTCAATGGTGAAATGAGTGCAGCCAAACTGTTCTGCTAGGTCGCGAGTGGTTTGACGTGGATCCGACTCAATGGCTTCCTTCAATGCGTCGTTGTCGATGATTTGAGGTCGACTCCCGTGTTTTTGGTCTTCCAAGCTTTCGTCGCCGTCTCGGAAGCGCTGGAACCATCGTTTACATTGACTTTCGGATAGAGCATCTTCGTCAAACACTTGAGATAGAGCGCGATGAGCTTCAGCAGCCGATTTGCCTTGCTTAAATTCATACCACAAGCAGGCCCGCAAGCGAAATTTTTGGTCCGACATTTTCTAAACACTCTTTCTTGTAAAAAATAAAGTAAACATAGACAAATTATATATCAAACGATGCGCAAGAACACGCTCTTTCCAATAGAATAAACTATTTTAAAAAATCTTTTACTGTGAATAAAATACAAATCAACAAACACGACGCTCATTTCTTTTTTACCAACCTAATAGAATGATCTATTGATTATCTCTTTTTTAATCTATTGATTATCCCTTTAAATCAACCTAAATCCTTTTCAGAATTTCTGGTGGTACAATGGGTTTCTTACGATTTTCATCAACTTTTTCGAAGTTTATATGATCTTTTACCATTCCTCGAATGATATGAAAGTCTGGAAATATTATTTATTTCATATTTTGGTATATCTACCATCAAATATCTATTAAATCTATGAAATTCAGATTTGGTGTTTTCTACAAGATTTCTGCTTAAATTGGTTCTTTTGTCCAGGTGTGATGATACCATTGGAAGGCTTTTACATGTCAAAATCGTGTTTTTTCGCGAAAAGTCCACCCGAATGGATTTGGTGGGAAATGGTGAGCGAAGAAGATATACATTTAAGTTTAAAGATTTTAAAGTTAAAGATAAAATAAAGCTTTAAAGGTTATAAGGATGTTTAGCCGAATTTATTTCCAAAGAAATGCATAAAACTTCTTTCTCTTTTGACTGATTATAGGCTAATTTTAGATTCTTCAACTTGTCCTTTTGCAAAATGTGACTAGCGCTGTGATTTGCGGTTTCCTTTACAGATTGTGGTGTCTTGAGGAGAAACGGTGGTATCAATCAACGGCAAAACGACAGTATTGCGTTAGTTTTCCTTGAACTAGTCGTACATTCAACTTTTCAGTGTTTTCTTGGCGTTCACCTCTTCTATTCACTGACAAATTTTCTTGGAGTCATTTTCGCGGAGTTGGATCGACAAACGATGATCGATTGGGTGTTGCAGGTAAGACTCATCACGAGTACAACCTAGTTCTACAAAAGGCTAAGGATCAGTTTAGTCTATGTAGCATACGTCATAGGGTTACAGTAGGGTAGGGTTACGGTAGCTTTTGATGGATGGTAGGGTTACGGTAGCTTTTGATGGATGGTAGGGTTACGGTAGCTTTTGATGGGTCGTAGGGTTACGGTAGCTTTTGATGGGTCGTAGGGTTACGGTAGCTTTTGATGGATGGTAGGGTTACGGTAGCTTTTGATGGGTCGTAGGGTTACGGTAGCTTTTGATGGATGGTAGGGTTACGGTAGCTTTTGATGGGTCGTAGGGTTACGGTAGCTTTTGATGGGTGATAGGGTTACGGTAGCTTTTGATGGGTGATAGGGTTACGGTAGCTTTTGATGGGTCGTAGGGTTACGGTAGCTTTTGATGGATGGTAGGGTTACGGTAGCTTTTGATGGGTGATAGGGTTACGGTAGCTTTTGATGGGTCGTAGGGTTACGGTAGCTTTTGATGGATCGTAGGGTTACGGTAACTTTCATCTGCCTTTTCTAAAAATTCAAAGCTACCGTAACCCTACCATTTCAAGCTCCCGTCTTCCAATCTACAGCGTTAGTACTACCCAAACAGCGCCTCCCTGGCTAACTATACGAATTGGGTGATCATACCATTTCGACTCGGGCATCTCCTCAAGATCTGGATCATGTGGATTGTCGAGGTACCTAGAATCGATAAGTTACAGTACTCTACAAATCCCTAGGGTCTTTTCTTCAATTTAATCAATTTCTATTGTATCATTAAAATCAATTCTCTTCTGAATCAAATGCGATCGCATATGAGTGCGAGAACGATGCGAGTCCACCAGGATTTCATTGTCGCTTTGTCGATACAGGTCTGCATTTGGTGAATGATTGAGCATTAGGATTTGTAGCAAAAATACAACCAGATTTGGACTTCGGGCTTCAGGCTTAGACCTCTAACATCATGGTATTAAAAAGCTTTGAGTTCTATCTCCAGGATCACAGTACTACAGTAATACTCACTTCAAGCTACTCATTGGCAGGTGAAGTGCAAGGCTTTCCAATAGTTTTGCTTTTCTATCAGGTTGGCAACTAAATAATGGCCCTTTTCAGTAAAAACAAAAAATTTATTAACAAGATGAACAAATATCAACATCAATCCAAAAGGTATTCTCCGTCATTCTTTATTACTTCTTTCCACTTTTGACGGAGCAACTGGATTCCTCTCTTGAAAAATTCTTCTGGTTGATCCTCAAAGAACTTCTGCACTGAAATTCGGACTTCGTCAAGGTCATTGAACTTTTTCTCGGCTAGAAAGTGTTGCATCGATCGAAAAAGATGGTAATCACTAGGCCCCATATCCGGGCTGTATGGCGCATGAGGAAGAACATTCCAGCCCAACTCCTCGATTTTCTCCATTGTAAGTTTTGCAGTGTGTGGTTTTGCGTTATCATGGAGAAAATGAATTGAAGAGGGTTCGAGTCCTTGAGAGCGAATTGCTTGATCTACACGATGTAGTTGAGACGAATAGAGTTCTGAATTAACCGTTTGCCGGCTTTTGAGAACCTCGAAATGCACCAACCCACGAGAACTCCACCACACACAGAGGAGAGTTTTCTTTGAGTGAATATCCGGCTTCGGAGTTGGTTTTGGGTCTTCGTTTGTGCTAAGCCACTGTCGTTTTCGCGTTCGATTATCATAAAAGTTCCATTTTTCATCAGAAGTGACAATGGAATTCAAGAAGCTTCCCTTTTTCGCAAGTTTTAGTAGTATTCCAGCTGTGATAACACGAGTAGCCTTATTTTCTTCGCTCAATTCATGCGGAATCCACTTTCCACTGCGGTTACTTTTCCCCAATGCATGAAGTCGCTTTTCGATTGCAGTATGCGAAAAGCCCAATCGATCCCCTAGCTCGCGTGATGTTTGACTTGGATCCTCCTTTAAGGCTGCTTCCAAAATATCGTTCTGCAGAAGTTCGGGTCGTCCTTGGCGAGGCTCATCTTCAAGACTTTCATCCCCTTCCTTGAACCGTCGATACCATCTCTTACATTGTGTTTCGGAAAGAGCCTCATCACCAAAAACTCGCAATAAATCTCTGTGGGATTCGGCAGCTGTTTTGTCTTGTTTGTAGTCGTACCAGAGACAGACACGCATTCGATATTTGAGATCTTCCATTTCTAAACAAAATTATTTGAAAAGTATCAAATCAAGGAAAGTAAAAAACGTATAATAATGCACCAGAAATTCAGTAATATTCAATTAACAACAAGCGAGGGTAGATTAAACGCAAAGATTAAAAGATTTTATCAAAAAAGGGCGAGGGCCATTATTTAGTTGCCAACCTAATAAAACCTGCCGGAATACGGTTGCTTAAGATTTGACTGTAGAGTACAGCAGCTTTTGCTAGAGCAGCAGCTTTTGTTAGAGCAGCAGCTTTTGCTAGAACAAATATTCTTTTCCAGTGTTTCCTCACATTTTCGGTTTACTCTATCCCGTTGATCTTGGCAAATTTGGGTATTGCCACCGGGATTCACTCTCAATGTAAGCAATTAAATAATAGTTTTTATCGTACTGTAAAATGTTTATATTATTAATCTACTAATCTCAAAAAAACCAAACTAACCCATTTCTTCTAGCGATCGGCGACGTGATGGTCTCAATGTTTTGTCTCCATTCTGCTGTGAATGTAATCGTGATGTGTTGGGCAACTAAACCATATCAATTAGCGATCTCAGGAGGAATCAAAGGAATCAAAAGTTATTTTACGAGGAATTACTCCGACTTACCGCTAAGATCTCCGTGCTCAGTTTGACGAGTCAAGAAGATGGCATCGCGAGAAGATAATGCGATTGATTTGAGATGAATAAAGGAGCTTAATACAGTTCACAGAAAAAACTCAAGTAGTTGACTTTTAATGGGTAAGCCCCGCCCATAATGGACGTGGTTGAAGTTTTTGCCTCATAACTTTACATGGATCTTACATTTTGAGCTCACTTTGGTATCATTCAGATGGACCGTTCACTCATTCACCAACAGATGAGCCACCAACTGAAGCTCCCACCGAAAAACCAACTGGAGAACCATCAACTGCTGCCCCAACTGGTGGACCTACTGATCAGCCAACTACCAAATCTCAAACTGAACAACCCACAAATGTCCCTACTAATGACCCAATCACTGAAGAGCCATCTACTGCCAAACCTTCAGATGAGCCTGTCACTGACGGTCCAACCGGTCAACCATCGACAAATGCTCCAACTGATGGCCTACTGATCAGCCTGTGACTGGAGAGTCATCGACCGCAGCTCCATCTGGTCGACCTATCACTGATGAATCAACAAATGGGCCGTCCACTGGAGCTCCAACTGATGAACCGACCAAGGGACCCAGCAATGAACCATCTACTGCAGCGCCATCATCTCAGTCTTCGACTGGAGCTTCAACGGATCAGCCATCCACGGGAGAACCATCAACCCAATCATCTAGAACAGAGCCAACCAATGTTCCCTCTGGAGAACCGAGCACAGAACAACCTGAGGAACCCACAAATCAACCAACTGGAGAACCATCAACTGCTGCTCCATCAAATCGACCGGTTACTGATGAACCCACAGAAAAACCCTCAACTGGTCTCCCAACTGATTGGCCAGTAACAGATAGTCCGACTGGAGAGCCATCCACTCACCAACCATCAAATGAACCATCAACAGCTTCACCCACCGAACAATCCACTAGGGTTCCTTCTGAGCAACCAAGCACCAATGGGCCAAGCAAAGAACCTGTGACTGATGGACCGACAGAGAAGCCGACTACTCGAGCTCCATCTGAGCAACCAATGACTCAAGATCCAACAACGGTTTCTCCATCAGAAACCCCAACTGATCACCCATCAGATGAGCCTTCAACTGAACCAAGTGATGCACCGATTACCCAACAACCGACAGAAGAATCGACAAGTGAGGCTCCCACTCAACCACCAACAAATCGAACGCATAGGGAAGGACCGTCAACTGGAGCGCCAAGAACCGGGCACCAAAATGTAAACGAAGAAACTAGCTTGACTCTAAATTCTTTGACACTTTCCTCAACCATATCTTTTGCAATTTCACTTTTCAATAAAGTCTCACCAAAAACAATTAATCCTTTATTTACACGTTTCATTCAAGCTCTTGAAACTAACGCAAAAACACAAAAATCATTCAAATACTTAAATAGATCAATTCCCGAATATCATTCTCCATTTATTGTTCATTTTCATCACCTCGTCCATTCCCATTTCTTCTCCTTTTCGTTGTTGTTGTCAATCGACGAGCTCTCGTTGTTGTTGTCGGTTTTGTCGGTTTTCGAGTTGTCGTTGTTGTCTTTTTTGTGTGATGATGGTGATGTCTTTTTGTCGTTTTTGGTTTCTGAGTTGTTGAGGGAATTTTCGTTGTTGAATCTTCAGTTGGAATTGGTTTGTCGGTTGGATTTTGAGGAGGAAAAGGAGTTGAGGGATCACTTGATGGAGATTGGGAAGAGATTACGGTAGTTGAGGGATCTTCGGGCAGATTTGTGGGGATTACGGTAGTCGATCCATCGAGCGGCACTTCAGTGGGATTCTCAGTGACTACAGTGGTATGCCCATCAGTCACAATAACCGTTGTTTTCTCACTCGGCACTTCAGTTGACGGTCCATTCGTATGCGTTCGATTTGTTGGTGGTTGAGTGGGAGCCTCACTTGTCGATTCATCTGTTGGTTCTTGGGTGATCGGTGCATCGCTTGGTTCAGTTGAAGGCTCATTTGATGGTTGCTCAGTTGGGGAAACCGTTGTTGGATCTTGAGTCATTGGTTGCTCAGATGGAGCTCCAGTAGTCGGCTTCTCTGTCGGTCCATCAGTCACAGGTCCTCCCGATGGAACTCCAGTCGATGGTCCATCAGTCACTGGCTCTCCGCTTGGCCCATTGGTCATTGGTTCACCAGAAGGAACCCCAGTGGATTTTTCGGTGGGTGAAGCTGTTGTTGGTTCATTGCTGGGTCCATTCGTCGGTTGATCAGTTGGAGCGTTTGTAGGTACACCAGTTGATGGTTGATCACTTGGTGTTTGAGTTGGAGTATCGGTGGGCTGTTCAGTGGGTGGATCAGTTGGAGCTTCAGTGGACGGGCCATTTGTTGGTTTATCAGTGGCCGGTTCATCAGATGGAGCTGCGGTCGATGTCTCTCCAGTCACAGGCTGATCAGTGGGCCCATCAGTTGGAGCATTTGTCGATGGTTGACCGGTTGGACCGTCAGTGACAGGCTCATCTGAAGGTTTGGCAGTAGATGGCTCTTCAGTGATTGGGTCATCAGTAGGGGCATTTGTGGGTTGTTCAGTTTGAGATTCGGTAGTTGGCTGATCAGTGGGGCCAGTAGTTGGAGCAGCAGTTGATGGGTCTCCAGTTGGTTTTTCGGTGGGTGCTACAGTTGGTGGCTCATCTGTTGGTGAATGAGTGACCGGTCCATCTGATGGAATAGCAGTTGATGGTTCTCCAGATGGAGGATTGGTTGGTTGTTGAGTTGTTGGTTGTGTTGATGGTTCATCAGTTGGTTGATCAGTTGGAGAAGCAGTTGTCACCGGATTCATTGTTGTGGTTGTTGTTGTTGGCGCCGAAGTTGTCGTCGTTCTTGGCACACAAACAGCATTGTTCCGAGCAACGGAAACAATCTAAAATCTACCGATTACTTCAAAGAATTTAATTGTCCAATTCCCCACCCAATCCTATCTTTTCAACTCACCGTTCTCACGGGAATCGTTTGTGAAAACAGAATGTAGTCAATCGTTTTGTGTTTTTGTGTCGATGTCTGATCGGGATCCGATTCTGCTTTCTGAATCAAAAGCAATGCTTCGTGAGCCTAAATATCAAAAATATCAATCAAAATCAAATCAAAAGATACTTTAAAATATTCAAAGCGCTAAACTCTTTCCAAACCTTTTCAACGATATTTTCCTGCCCATCGAATTTCTCCAGAATTTTCTCCTCAACAGCTTTCAAATAGTCGTCGAGAGCAGTCTGGAATGGAGATTTCAATGAAATGATCTCTTTTAGAAGAGCTAATCAATAGTTCTTTATCCATATTCATTCGAAATCCTTACCTGAATCTTCTCTCCAAACGGTTTTGCCCAATCTCTCATTTGTTCTTCTTTTTGTCGATCAGTCAATCGGTCATTTGATTGAATTTTCAGGAAAGAAAGCCTTGCAAAAAGGGGAACATTGTTGAGAAAAGTTGGATTCGGAAGGGAACAGGAATTGTCGAAGAATGGAGAGATCGCTGGGGATTGGGACTGAAAATGGGATTTCGATTGGAGAAATGGATAAGGATACTGTAGCTTAGCCATTGCATTTATTGCATTTGAGAAAGGGACAAACCTCAACGACATTCCCAATGGCCAAAACCCCAATTAAAGTCCAAATCGAAACACTTCGCATCGTTCAGAGCAGGAGATCAAGGGGCTTACTGTAGATAAATAGGATTACTGCAGAGAGGACTGTTGAAACGAAGGAGTACTGTATTTGAGATGCTCCTTTCAATCTGTTCCTTCGAATTTCCATTTAACTCCTTTAAATACCATTCTCAAACTATCTCATAAATGATCGGTAATAGCCAATGAAACAAATTTGACGCAATCCCAGGTCACACATTTCCTTTTTTCCCTTTTGAAGCCATTTCCCCTCCCCCACAAATTCTTCTTATCTCCAGTCTTTTCTTTTCTTTTTTCATGGCCAAATGGGCGGAATTTTATGTTGTTTTTTTGGGAGTTGTCCATTCAGAAGGTGACCTCAACAATGGCATTGCACATTTAACTAAACGGCGATCGGCGAGTCATTTCAACAATGTTAACCCACAGCTATTGGTCCTTTTAGAAGAAGTAGTCCAACTATAATTAGACCTACTCATTGTGAGAAGTACGTTTGCTCTTTCGGATATCAACCTAATGGGCTATCGTACTCGAGTTTCAGCTTTGTTCCAGCATTCACTCAAAACGACTCAGAGCACACTGCTTTCGGGGTTTTGTAGCGGATTACAGCCAATTTTAAGGCAAAAATTCATCCCAGGAGTTTGGGCATTGGACATTCAGCTAAACAGCTCAATGTTCAATGAGCTGTTTAGCACATTGAACTGAACAGCTCAATGTGCTAAACATGTCCGCTCGTGATCTTCTCGCACACATGTTGACAATTGATCCGAATGATCGATACTCTGTCGAAGCCGCGCTCAATCATCCATATGTGAAATTGTGGTTTAAGGTTGGGTAAAGTTAAAACATACAAAAAGTAGGGTACTTTCAAATGAACTGTTGCACAATTAGATTAGAGTCAAAGGAGTGCAAAATAGAAAGAAATTCCGGTACGACAGCAGAACTTGATCGAAAAACAAAGAAAAAAAAAGGAGCTTGACATGAACTTCAATTTTGGTTATGCCAGTTCAGCCAACACATTTAAGTGTGATTCTTAATGTTATTAAGTGAGGTTAAACGCTATTTTTGCATCGAAGAAATATTAAAAAGCTTTTCTGAACAATTTTTAATGGAGCGGCCAAATGAGAGATTCGCAGGAGAGATGTCCCCTAGCGCTCATTCAAGCGCTTGTTAAATGAGTTGTATCAGTCCAATCGGCAAGTTTTTGATCGATAAATGTTGCCGAGAATTAGGAATACAATTTTCTATATAACATTTGAAAAGTGAGCTTTTGATTTTTTTGAACAAATGGGGACTTTTCCAGGCACTAACAAGAAAATCAGCCCGAAATTGGCGCTAATCAATGGGCTTTCCCCTTCACGCACAAATAATCAAAGAAGACCGATTTTTAGAACATTATTTGATTGAAATCCTCATCATTTCTATCATATTTTTACCGTTCTTGTGCGCAAAACGGCTAGCGATCAAGCCAGCGCAAAGGTGAAACAATTTTGACCGTTTATCAGCCATTCTTTAACGAATTCGGCTCATTTTTACGTCAAAAGATGCACCTTGAAAAATTCTATTGAATAAGTATTTTGTTTATGTGGCAAAAATTGTTTTAATTTAATAAAAACAAGCTTAAAGTTGGTAAAGGCGAAAGAACGAAAGAACTTTGCTCTGAACACCGTTTTTTCACCTTTTTCTCAAGAATTCTTTAATTTTCTTAAAACAAAATATATTTTATGATAAGCTTTTGATTATATTTTCATAATCTTTATTAAAAAACTCCTTCAAACACTCAAAACATAGTTTCTTTTCTTTTACACGCGTCAACAAAGAAATCACAGAGAAAATCGAAAACAAAGATTTGAAAACAAAGATTAGACAACAGTAAAGATAACAACTTGTAATATTCAACATTCAACAGCGCTTTTGGTTACTGTCAGCGTAAAGCCGCCAGAACTATGAGGCTGAGTACATCGGTAGTCCAATTGATAGATCCATTCGATTCCATTCCGGTCGGCTCTCACTGAATAACGGGTTCGATAGTCTTTTTGTTGAGATTCTCTGAAAGAAATAAAATTCTTATTTGAAATCTTTTGAGTCAAAAACTGGACTTGCAAATTTACACGTAAACAAAAGGGATCTGGTTTGCTGATTTCTTAGAAGATAGTGATCAAATATCTTTGATTGGTCACAATTTTGGGTCTCTGAGCGCAAAGTATACACCCAACCGCTGAAAATTGAAAACTGTGCCTACCTGAATCCCTCTTCCCATCCAATCATCTGCGAGAATGCGTGGAAACTCTCTTCTTCGTCTTCCAAAAATCCACAATAACACAAACAGAACTCTGCCTTCGGATGCCAGTTCGGCGGCCCCTTCACGAGAAGATTATCAAAAACTTTTAGGAAAGACTTATAAAGAGGGGCTATGTAACGTATCGAGCGAACTTTCATCTTTTCCAAGCATTGCCATGTAACTAACCCTTGCGGGTTTTTGCCAATAGTGTCATAAGTGTCCCACAGTTTTGCTGTATCTATCTGTCCTGAATTCGTTTGCTGCGATAGGAACTGCATCAGATCGCCTCCACCCCTCTTCATATTGAGCGTATATTCAGCAACTGCTGGAAGGAGAGGAGTTGGGATAAGGATAAATGAAGATACGGATAAGCATCGGACTGCTCGAACTCTCGGCCAAAAGGAGAAAAAGTTAACAACATTGCTAGAAAAGTCATCTACTTCGTCTGGCATATATGACACGCATTGGATTTCTTGACATCGAAGAATATTCTGGAAGATTCTCGAGTGATGTCTTGTTATTTGCTTTGAGGGTCTTTCAAAGATTGGTTTGTTGATTTGAAAAAAGTGGGAATCCTTAGAGCCTCCAGAGCAATGTTGCACATTAATAGATAGCCCCGTCTTTTCCTTTCCGTCTTCAGATTTCCAGCCAGATAGCCTGAAACGAATCTCGTGGACATTCTTTCGAAATGGTCCATTACAGAGGACAAATCGTCGGAATTCGCGATTCACTTGCAATAAACTCAATGTTTCCTTGATCGGTAGAGAATCGAGGACATCGACTTTCAGCGATGTAACCAGTGAATTGACAGAGAAATTTGGGCCAAGACTCATTCCTCGGGTAAATGTGAAAAGATAAGTGGGTGCTCGGTGAATTCTGCTAGGATACGTTCTCATTATGAGTTGTTTCCCGCCCTGGTCTGTTAATTGTCTGCAAAAACGTGCAAAGGGTAACAATACGTAGATTTTGTGTTACACTACCGTAATATCTGTAAGAGAACGCTACCCCCTCCAAACATTTCATGTGGTGGACTCTTATCATATTTTTCGCGCTCAAAATTTCGAAGAATCAATGCGTGGGACCCTTCCCTTTTTTCGACGTTTTTTTACCAGCCTTAGCCAAAGGAATTTTGATCAAAAATGAGCTCATTTCCTCGAAAAACACTCCTTTTATGATAGGAGGTAAGTTATAGATTTGTAGTTTTTAAATATATTATTTTGAAAATTATTTATTTGCCCCGGCGGAAATGCAAAAAGGTCTTAAACAAAAAAGGGGCTCAACACACAAAAAAATAGCGGGCCTAGTACAAGTGAAAACGAGAGGGGGGCAGGGCCTCAAAATCTTCTTTCTGTCCTCAGTGATGGAGCTGCTTGGTGTCAGGTTGAGCCTTGCTGGTGCCAGGTTGCTCGGCACTCGGGAAATCCTCCTAAAAATTCATCAACCGTAAAGGGTAAACGGTAAAAAGACAAATCCTCACACAATGATTCTTTTAAGTTGTCGAATTCGTATTCGAGAAATTCAACGATAGGCGACGGTTGGTATGCATCGGTGGGTTTGTGTCCCTTGGTATTGCTATCATCTTAAAATAGAAATTCTTTACAGATACGGAAGTGCTTTCTTCAAAATAAAGCCACAACCTACATGTAATGTGTACACGCAAGTTGTCGTAAGCTTTGGCGGCTGGATCCTTCTCTTGGATACCTTTCCGTATTGCCCTTCTTGCAAATCTATCAGCCTGAAATTAACAAAATCAATCAAATTAAATAGAAATTAAGCTATAAAATTATTTCGCTAATAACATTTCCTAAAGCATTACCTCTCCAAGGCGGGGATCGTCATTCTTAATCCACTGGAACAAGATCCCCTTTTCAAAATAGGTTGCCAGAGTATACAAATTCTGATAACTAAACGTAAAATATAAAGAAATACAAATGGAAAAACAAACTCATTAAAAAAAGTTGACGGTCCTGGTTCTTGACGCTTCTTGTATTGCTTCATCTTCTTCAAACCCTCAATCATACTTTGACAGTCACTTCTTAGAACTATCGGCCAGGCCCTAAATGATCAAAAGATTTTTCTCCACACAAAATGGCCGAGGATTATTGTTATTATACAAATGAATAATGCTTACCTGTGCTTTTCACTCTTTTTTTTTCTTTGCCATTCTCTTCCCAAACTCCGTTCCAGACGAGAAGGCGTTGAAGAACTACTGTTGCCGCCCATATTTCAGCGTGAGTGCTGTTATGGTCTTCTCGAGCCTTGTTGATGTAGTAACTGATGTCGCGAGACCTAAATTTGAGAAAATTGCTAAAATTTTATTGGCTAATTTAAACAATAGTCAATATTTTATTTTACAAGATAAACTAATATTTTCCGGAACAATCCAAAGCATTTTTTGTTCGGCACTATAGTTATAGCATAAAAACACATACAGCTGAACTGGATGACAGAATCTGATAAATGCTCCAATTCCGATCCGCACTCGGGACATCCTCCTAAAAATTCATCAACCGTAAAGGGTAAACGATAAAAAGACAAACCTTGCAGTCCTTAAGCAATGAGTCTTTTAATCGGGTAGCGCCCCATTTATCCAACAATATTTTCTTCTTTATTAGAAATCTTTTTTAAAGTAACAGTGTTTGAATCACGAACAATTGATGTAGTTAAACCAGCGGTTGACGATCCTTTACCAAGAGTGTAGACGCCAATTGGCGATTGGTCACAATTTTGGGTCTCTGAACGCAAAGTATACACCCAACCGCTGAAAATTGAAAACTGTGCCTACCTGAATCCCTCTTCCCATCCAATCATCTGCGAGAATGCGTGGAAACTCTTTTCTTCGTCTTCCAAAAATCCACAATAACACAAACAGAACTCTGCCTTCGGATGCCAATTCGGCGGCCCCTTCACGAGAAGATTATCAAAAACTTTTAGGAAAGACTTTGTTATTTTAAGCTTTTATTGGGTTGGGGAGAATTAGTCGGCGCCGAAAATGAAAAAAATGTGTAAAACTTCAATTCGACTTCGTCAAATAATATGCGTTTGATATGAGTAGAATGGTTAACTAATTCTCTACAAAATCACAATTAAAAGAAAATTCAAACAGCGCCTCCGCTCAAGAAAAAGCCATTTTTTCACAAAAACTACAAACTGTGATCTAGAAAAAACCATTGGTGGGATCTTCCTGCAAATTTGGCAACTTAAGTAATTCAATGTGCTCTATCTTTTTTATATAAACACCAAAGAAGGTTTATGTGAAAGAAACTGTTCAAATGATGAGTCGGACTCTTTGCCATTTTAACCAGCTGCGTTTGGAAGTTCATAAACTCCACGAAAGAAAAGCTTTGTGGAATCTCTCAAAAGTGATTTTGTAGAGAAATAGTGGATCCTTTTGATGAAACCAAACGTATGTTTAAAGAAGGCTTTATGTATGCAAAAAGTCCTTTAAAGTTTGGCGCCGACTCATTCTCCCCAACCCAATATTTAAACAGTTTAGCCAACTTTATCCGTGAGGTAACGATCGACGTAAAGTGGAAGATGACGGGGCATTTCACCGTGTGAAATATCTTGAGAATTTTCCTAAAACAACTTGAAATGTAAAACAAACAAAAGTACAACCTGAAGCTTCAATGTTTGGTAGTCGACGCAAATACATTTATCGCATAGGGACCAATCGGACAACGTTGCATTTGGCCAGTTTGAGGACTAAAAGACACCTATCTCATGAAATATCAAATAATCCCATACTTACGCTCCACATTGGCGAGGCAAAGCGTAACCATAAAATCCGGATTTGATCTTAATACCCGCAATTGTGCGATGACATTGTCGACATTGAAGAGTCAATTTTGTCGCTTTGGCACGCACCTGAAAACCTTGAAGTTTAACAACAAAAACTACTCACTACTTGACTCGAAGCCACAATGATTCCAGAAATTTTGATGATTTGCGAAACTTGGGTACTCTCCACTCTACGAATCGTCGTTGGATATTCTTCGAGTCCGAGTGTCACCTATAGATCAAATTGAATTGCACATAGATTGCAACAACATCTGAATATCTTGCACTTGTTCTTGCCCTTCTGGTCGTAATTTGGTCACTCCATCGGCGACAATATTTGCTGCTTCTTCCAACTGAAAGCAATAATGAAAGCTTCCTAAAACACTCTCCTAACCCCTGGCATAAATTTCATCGGATAAGTGCGCAATTTCTTTTCAACATCTTCATCAAACACTCGCAAATGATTCAACAAGATGTTGATTGATATTTGATATTTGGTATTTGATATTTGGCCAGATTGTAGTTCTTTTTGAGCTGCTCACTAAAATCAATCCGATAAGTCTAGTTATTATTGTGCATAACGTCTTTTAAAGCTTTGTGCTTACCGGTAGATCATTTGAAATCCTCCAATGCTGAACTCGGGGATGAAACGTCGAAAAACGTCGCTGATGTGCTTGATCATTCGGCCCCCCCCCCCCCCCCCCCCCCCCCCCCCAAAAAAAAAAAACAACATAAAAAAAAAAACCCCCCCCCCCCCTCCCCAAAAAAAAAAAAAATTTATAAAAAAAAAAAAAAAAAAAAAAAAAAATAAAAAAAATTTTATTTTTTTCATTTAAAAAAAAAAAAAACCCCACCCCCCCCTTTTTAAACTTTTTAAATTTTTTACCTCCCCCCCCTTTTTTTTAAGCGCAATGCACTTGTTCACATAAAGTCGAAAAGGATAAACAGTACCCGAACCAATGTTTTGAACAAGTAAACAAAGAAAAATTCTATTGACGCGACTAGTAAATTAGAAGGTAGTAATGGTTGATAACACATATCTTTGCCATCTACATATCCTCAACTTGTTAAATTTCTTTATTTTCCTTCAACAACAAAGTTAAGAACAAAAATCGGTTAATCAAAATAGCACAAAGTAAATACCTAAACATATAAACAAATCTAGAGCAAAAACAACAACGTTAGCACAATGGGTGAGTGCACAGCTTAAATATACTCTTCACAAGAAGAATTTTTGCTAGTTAAATTCCAAATTGGAAATGAAATCTCAATGTTCTTCGTCGCTTTCCTCAGCAAGTCTGTTGGTACGTGCGATTTTTGGTAGACGCTCTTGAATGAAGCTTTCGGCGCGAGAAATCTTCATAGGCACGGGAGGCCTCATATCCACGACATTGTCCTAAAAACCATCCATCGTTCCTCAACCAGATTCAAAGCTATAAATTCAATCTTTCTACATTATAAAACCTAAAAAACTTACTTTCTCTTCTTCATTCTTACGTTTGGCGTTAGTCAGAGGTTGAAGTTTATTTTTGCTCTTTGAAAATTTGACATTGGATAATAGTGATGATTGCTACAATTTATACTTTTAAAAAAATCCATATTTATAAACAAACAGCAGTTGAGCCTTGACTTGATCGAATCTTCAGAAATTTAGAGTGAGGAAGCAATTCTCCGCCCAATGGTTGAACCAACTAAATAACGAAATTAAAAGATTAATAACACACTCAGACATCAAATTGATCCGTGATGATTGATGAAATCGCGACACTTTCCGTATGGATTGGTTGAGGCTCCGATTCAACGATAGTCTTTTCAAAAGAAAGAGTAGAATCTGAAAATAATCTTGAGATGCTTCAATAAAACCTCAAAAATTTAGATTCTAAAATCACTTACCATCATCACCAAGCTTAACGGGGGTCATAATTTTCACGACACGAGTAGTCACGGAAGATTTTTCTCTTTGCCTTTCCTCAGCCACTTGCCTCCTTTGGTAATATTTAATATCTATTATGCAAATCACAA